CAAAGTCACCGCAGTAAAACAGGGCGATGCGGGCAGAGGAACTGGCGCGCAGCGCCGGAACAGCACAGAAGGCCGGAGCCGCCTTCTGGGGGGACGTCCCTGCTGCGGCGAGTGCTGGCTCTGGCGGCCCTGGAGAGCGGGCGCGGGGCCCAGCCCACCCCGACCCCCACGTGGCGCTGTTAGTGCCCGTCAACCTGCATGTGGCAGGGTCTCCAATGTCCCCACACTGCCAAACCAGAGGTGGCTTTCCAGAGGTCTCCCTGGTGGCTCGGGCCACTGGGCCCCACGGCACCCTCTCGTTTCCTCTCTTGGAGCCCCTCCCAAGCTCCCCCTCCTCTCCCGTCCACTCCCATGGGGAGGGACCACGGCCAGCGTGTGCACCCCCCACCCGGACAACCACCAAAGCCAGGACATCTTCCCTCTTCCCTCCTGGGTCCTTCAGGTCTCCGGAGAGCGTCGTGTCCTTGGGGAGGCTGCCCCGGCCCTCCTCTGCCTCCTGGGGCACTTGTCCTGATGCCTTCTGCTTCCGGCCTGCCCCTAAACCCCCAGTTCCTAGCACCCCCCACACAATAGGGACTCCGGTACGATGGCAGGACTCCTCTGCCTGTGGTCCTCCCATCCCTGGGGACGCCAGGCGCGCCCTGTCCTCAGGTCCACGTGTGGGATGTGTGTGTGGACTGTGGCCTGGCGTGATGGGAAGGGCCCCAGGGCATGTGGGGAGACAGGGCTGGGTGGCCACGGCCAGCACGGAATGTTCCTGAACAGCCTCATTGATACTTTTTCCTTTTTTTAAAAAAAGTGAACAGAGCTGGTGCACGCCTATAATCCCAGCAACTTGGGAGGCTGAGGTGGGAGGATCACTTGATCCCAGGAGTTTCAGTGCAGCCTGGGCAACATAGTGAGACCCCGTCTCTACAAAAAAATTTTTTTTTTAATTGAACTGAAATCCACATGACTTCAACCATTTGACAGTGAGCACTTCAGTGGCATTTAGTATCGTCATAACACTGTGCAACCAGCACCACTACCTCGTTCCGGAATATTTTCTTCACCTCAAAAAGAAAACCAGCATCCATTAAGCAATCGTTTTCATTCTCCTCTTACCCAGCCCCTGGCAACCCCTAATCTGCCTTCTACCCAGTGTGAACGTTTCATACAAATGGCATCATATAATACACGTGGCCTTTTATGTCCAGCTGCTGTGGAAGGATCTGACTGCCCTTGGGCCTGCCATGCTTCAAGGAAGCCCAGGCCAGCACGCAGGGGGCCGGCCAGCCTCCACCGGTGGTTCCAGCCACCCGACTGAGGCACTGAAGCCATCACTGGGCGGAGAAGCCGTCTGGTCGGCCTACCCTGTTTAGCCTTCAGATGACACCAGCCCCCGCCGCCTGATGACAACTGCAGCGAGACCCCAGTGCGAGCTGCCTCGCTGAGCTGGGCAACCCGACTGGGAGACACCACCACGTGGGCGCTGTAAGTCACCAGTTTTGGAGTGTTTCGTTACTCAGCTGTAGGCAACAGACACGGGAGTCAATTTCAAGCCCCCTGAGCCATAGTCCAGAGGGCAGGCGCAGGTCAGGGCTCAGCTCCCCAAACCCACGGCTTTTCACCTGCTCCTGGGGAGGCAGTGGTGGCATTTGGGGGTGGGGGTGTCCTTAGGATCCATGCCCAAGGAAGAATTCCAGCTGCCTGGGGCCCCTGCACGGCCAGGACGGGGCGTCAGCAGGGTGGGGGAGGGGCATCTTGGAGCGGGGAGCAGCAGCTGCTCTGAGTGGAGCAGGGACAGGCCCAGAGGCCGGGAGCAGCTCCTCCCACGTGGGGCAGGCGGGCAGCGCAGCCCAGGCCGGCCCCCAGCCGCCCTTGCCGCAGGAACCTCGAGGGGGGACCGTCCCGCTGCCCCCGCGGCCCCCGCTTCGCGTGGGCTCTGCGAGGGGTCTGCTCGCCCGCCCCGATCGTGGGGCTGCGGCCGCGAGA